TGTCGAACCCGTTCCTCGCCAATATATACATTACTTATTGGCCGTGCATGATAGAGAACAAGCTGGACATCTGCTTGTGTCTCTGACTCATCATGTGACATCTACGACATGCCTGACATCAAAACACCAGTACACGAACAGCTGGTTTCAAAAGCGAAGGAAAATCTTGCGAAGCAATCGATCCGTTATCCTACCGTTAAATTGGGTAATTTTTAGTCGTTTTGTAGGTTGTTATTGGAGCTTTTTAATTTTAATAGATGCTAGAGCCGTATGAATAAGAAGCTTTGCTAAAGTTTTCTTATTGTAAAAATGAATAACGCTGAAGAAGTCTGTGAATAAATCCGACCGCATTCTGGCAGAAGGACGATAAAAGACTTATTACACCATATATATAACAGCCGGTAATCCATAATGGGGCGATTTTTAACAAAGTGGTTGCCTGCGGCTTCGCCGATTTACCTTTTCGTTGAAAATAATAGCCATTGCGTTTCTTTCAGACTCCAAAAAACAAACGGAACATATTATCACCTACGCATATTGCAAGTTATTGTACCAATCCGTATATATCATGCCAGAGTACTCCTCAAGAAGACACAAGACGTCGCGATCCACTGGAAGATCTTCTTGTCAATCGAAAGCACAAGAAGCCGATGAAGAGCCTTCCGAATCATCAAATGCTTCCAACCTTGAGAGAGGCGAGAGAGGCAAAGGATCTCATGTTAGATCTACACAAACGTCAAGGTCGCCAAATAAAAAAGACTCTGAGCGATCCGATCGCAGATCTTCTAGAAGACCGAAACCGCGAGAAGCTGATGAGGAGCCTTCCGAATCATCCTACAGCGAGAAAACGCCTGGAAATGCTCGCGAGCTGCGGAGTGAACCCAAACACAGATCACCAAAGAAAGAAGTAAGCCTACTTGGCGATCGTAGAAAGGAACAAAGCGTCGCAAGGACATCCAAACCTGGTGCCTTTCCTGCTTTGAATAAAACCAGCAATCCTGGTGATCGCAGAAAGAGGCAAAGCGCTACAAGGTCCAGCAAACCTGCTTCTACTCTTGAAAATGGAACCAGTAGTTCTAGTGATCATGGGAAGGAGCAAAGCATCGCAAGAGCAAGCAAACCTGGTGCTATCACTCCACAGAACGATGGGGATCGAGAAAAGGAGCGCAGGTCTACCCGATCTTCGAATCCAGGAGCGGTTCACGATGATCGGGTGTCGAATCGCAACCGAAGGAAACAAGAAAGAGCTTCAAGCTCGTCGAACCAGACACGATCAACTTCCGGTGTGTGTGATTTTTCGGAGGCGGCAACCGTGGAACATGATCCGGAAGGAGACCAAGTGCTGCTGATGAGACGCGAAATAGAACAGCTTAATCAGCGACTGGGTGCCGAAAGAGGAGAACGAGAAGCAAACGAAGAAGCACAGCAAGAAGCGCAGCTAAAAGAGAAAAGGAAGAGAAGAAATCGGATCATCATTGTTCTGCTTTGCGTAGTTGTTCTCATTGCCGCCGGAGCAGGTGCATTCTTTTCTTTCACCAAGGACGAAACTACTGGAGACTCTGCGACTGCAAATGGCAACACCGAAGATCCGACAACAACACCATCATCTGTTACCATCAACGGCAACCTCTCTGCATCAGTCGCACCCACAAGCGCTGGTTCCAATAGTCCAACCGTAACCCAGCTATACGATCCACCAAATGAAGACATCTGTCTTGCTATCTCCAGAAACGAAACCATCGCTGGACAGGTGGACTTGGATCAAAGGGAGTTTGACATGGCGTTCGATGTCACTTTGGAAATAGATGACGATATCACTGTACCTGAAATTCAAACACTATTGGACGCCATTCAAGCCAGGCTCTTGCCTCCCTTGGCTGGATGTTCTTCTAGTCAGACAGTCAATCGTCGCGGACTTCTAACAGCAAACGATCAACAAACGATCAGAGCGGTTGTTGCAGAACCGCACAGCAGACAACGACAGCTTGCAATTGGGAATAGTCGCTTTGTGATTTTCAATGCATTCGTCACAGGTCGAGAGGATCCCGATGTGGTCTGCATCACCACACAAGACTTGAACCTCTGTCACAGAATTGTTGTGACAGTATCTGCCATTTTAAAAGGCCCAGTCCAACTGACAGATATTGTCGTTCTGACCTCTGAACAAGTATCTGACAAACTGAAGGAGCAAGAACAAGTTGATGGCAACTTGAAAGATCCATTGGGATTGGGCGATCCATTCTCCGAGGTACAGTTGATCAAATTTGATAATGCAAATGAATCAGCAACACCTTCACTGTCGGCATTTCCAAGCGTCGGGCCATCCGATACGTCAAGTCTACGTCCTTCATCATTTCCCTCTTTGCCACCAACACTGGCTCCCGTAGTGGGCCCAACTCTCTCGCCCTCAAGCGCATCTTCAACAGTACCATCGAGAGTACCAAGTTTGTCTCCAACAGCTACTGCAAGTGAAGTTCCATCTGCAAGTCCTTCAATGGTGCCAAGCATGGCTCCATCTTCCAATCCATCAATCCAACCGAGCAAAGCTCCATCTCCTAATCCATCGATAAAGCCAAGTATGGTTCCATCTGGAAGTCCATCGGTACAACCGAGCTTGTTTGCATCTGACACTCCATCGCTAAAGCCGAGTGTGGTTCCTTCTTTTGCCCCGTCAATGAACCCATCGCAGCCATGCTTTGAAAGCGACGGTGAGCTTGTTAGTGAAGTCGAGAACTGGTTTGGTACCGAATTGCAAAAGACATCAGCCGAAAACACCTATGGCCCTATCGGGGGTTGGTGTTTTGGTCCAGGTGTCACCAGTATGGAATTTCTCTTCGCAAATAAATACACTTTCAATGAAGACATTTCAAACTGGGATGTTTCTTCTGTCACTGCAATGAAGTCAATGTTTTATTTTGCATCATCCTTCAATCAAGACTTGTCATCATGGGATGTTTCTTCTGTGACGGATATGGGTAGGATGTTCAGAAATGCAACAGCTTTCAATGGAGACATGTCATCATGGGATGTCTCTTCTGTAGCCAGGATGAATGGAATGTTCAGAGACGCACCATCTTTCAATCAAGAATTGTCATCCTGGGATGTTTCAGATGTAACAACAATGCTGCACATGTTCAACTCTGCATCATCATTCAATCAAGACTTGTCATCTTGGGATGTTTCTTCCGTTACAAACATGAATTACATGTTTTCCCAAGCATCATCTTTCAATCAAGACTTGTCATCTTGGAAGGTTGTTTCTGTGACAAAAATGACAGCGATGTTTGAACAAGCATCATCTTTCAATCAAAATCTTTGTGCGTGGGTCTCACGCCTACCGAGCTATGCCAACGTTGACTTCGCGTTTTATGGCGCCGCCAGCTGCCAATCAGAGTCGAATCCAAACCTCTTTGCGACTACAACAGGGCTACCAGTAGGTCCATTATGTCATTTCTGCATCTAATGTCATTGTTTTTAAATCAATAGAGTACCTCCTTCTTGTACTTACTAGAGACATCGGTGATGACTAAAACGTCATCTTCCTACATGTCCATCGATCATCGTTGCACTCTTGCGATCATCATCAATAACAACATCATCAAATACAACATACAAGAGCAACATACCGTGTCCAATGCATATACCTCCTGGAAGTGAAGGATAATAATAAAAAATCTTCAGGTTGAAAGATTTTCTAAAAATTCGGTTCGAACAAATCAAACATTCCGTTGACTAGTTGGAATAAATTATCACCAACGAACGAGAGAGCGACGATGACCTTTTATCCCACAAGATTGGTTGTTGTGATGACTGTTGAATTCTATAGAATTCCAACCTTCACCACCGTGCACACTTTATCATATCATAGAATCATACATATATACAGACAGTCATGTACACGAACATAAGAGTGACTGGAAGATCATGGCGTCGAGAACGAGGTCTGCCATCCAACTTTGATCTTGCAGTTCTCATCATAGTTGCTTATGGAGTCTTTATCACCCTCACTGGGTTTGGAATGACCAAGAGAATATCGCATTTTGATAGAGCTCAGCATGACTTTCATCGGAGGCAGCAACACAGACCACGATATAAGAAAATCACTCTGAACAAGATGGGAAAGGTCACCGCCGAAAATTCAGTCGGTGTCATGAAACCACTTATTCCTAAAGCATCGGATGCCGAATCAATAATACAAACAGAGGCAGGGGAAGATGGAGATACAAATAAGGAGGAATCTGAAGAAACAAACGGTTCTCCAACAGAAGAATCTTCGTCTGTGGATACTACACCTGAACAAACGGCCATCACGAAGTCCACGATCGTCCAACCAAAGAAGAACGTCGGCCAACCAATTGAAAAGAGCTACCTGGCCATTCCTGGTGCAGCCGCAAAGAAGCAATCTCCAGAGCTCACTGGGGATGCCAATCGTCTGCAATGGTATGACGTGATTAAGAATTCTCCCATGTACGACGAGATTCCAGACCAACCACTAAAAGTCGGCTTGATTACTCGCGATCTCAAGGCAGGGCCGACCAATCACGTCATGATGGATGGGATGCGTAACTCAAATCATCTAGAGCTGACCAAAATCTGCTACGTGACGAAGAAAAATGGATGCGGTTTGATGGCGGAAGACCCGTCCATTGATTTGTGGTTGATTGACGCCAATGGAATCAAAACCAAGGCGAAACCTGGTGATTTGGTACATCAATTGTTGGATGTTGTCAATCCGCACTTTCAAATGCTCTTTATTGATTACAGCGATCGATTTGTCCCCAAGGGAGGATTTCTAGAGAACCATTATCCAGACGTGCCGGCCACCAAATTTGAACAGGGCCACATTCGATTCGCCATTCGGTGCATTGTCAAGAGTCGGATCTTTCGAGTCAAAACTATGCCCTATGTGAAACTTGGTACTCTGGTCTCGCCCGATTATCATGACAACTTGTCCACCAAACAAGGATTGCCCTTTCATGCCCCCTTTGCCGTCCGGACAGATTTTGTCAATTCCATTCAAGACTTGATTGGATCCTTGGTGGCCAATCAGACTTCCGTGAAAACCAATCCCTCGAGCATTCCCTACCATCCAGCCTTTGTCATGGAGCGTCCTTTGGATGTGACACACTTGTGGGAAGTCCTGTTGCCCTCCAAAAACAATGATTTGAGGAATCTAGTGACGGAAAAGGTTCAAGCCATGTCAAATCTCCCACATCCTTTGGAGAAGGATCGCAAAATTGTGGTCGATACTAGCATTCAAGGCGATAGGGCCCACAAAGGACGTTGGGGGGTCTCGGATGCCTATGCGACAACCTTGCTGCACAGCAAGATTGTGGTGGTGACCCAACGAGATCAATGGGAAGATCATTTTCGATTGTTTGAAGCGACTGCCAGTGGCGCCATGGTATTGATGGATGTCATGTTGTCATTACCCCACTCGTTGCAGAATGGTGAATCGGTAGTATTTTTCACTTCCCTCGAAGATTTGCAAGAAAAGGCATTGTACTACTTGGAACACGAAGACGAACGAATTGCTATTGCGAGAAAGGGATGGGAAATCAGCATGGAGAAGCATCGATCCTGGCATCGAATGGAAGAAATGTTATTTGGAAGAGGAGTGACTGATACGAGGATTGAAGATAGCTGGAACCCTCCTCCTCCTCCAGGTGGTGAGAATAATAATGAGTGAGTGATGATGATGGACCAGGATAGCAGACTGAGAGCTCTATAGTGAGCTCTGTTTCAGCCAACCTTTCAGCCAACCAAGGCGCCCCCCAACACAACCGCAACCGCAACTCGCAAGCGCAACCACATCATATAATAGACCACCCATACACGTGCACTACCGGAAAGGAGATGAGGAACCCAGCGCTCTTGTCCTCTGTCACGACAAACTGGTACGATTCATTCATTACAGGGACCAGTTCCGCTCCTTTTGGACGTCTTGCATGGTATGGCGGTGTAAATTTACCGTGCAATTGACTTCGATCATAGTACCAGTACTACTTGGTGAGAACATAGTATATATTACTAGGCGTTGCTTGTGGTAGTGTTGAGCAATGTTCGCAGAACGATGTTGTTCGTTTCTAGAAACTATCTGGGGAAAACTACATGAGAGTTGTTCATCATATTCGCAGGTGCAATACCGGTACCACATTGCTGGATATTTTAACTCCTCTTTCCTGTTGGCCGCGCGAGGTCAAGTGTCTGCAGTAAATATACCGGTATATATAAGACCTTGAACTTGTGAATCCTCA